AATGTCTTAAAACAAGTAATCTGTACGACCACTAAGATTTCGCAAGATTCCGTCTCCAAGATTCCCATTTTCCTGCAGCTTACAACTTCGATTTGACTCGTTTGACCACCGTTCCCGGCCGTTCCAGGGCCGATTCGTCGAGAAGTGCCTTGGCCGCGCGGGCCGCTTGCATATTCGGAGTGACTTCTCCCCTTGACATGGATGCCGAAGAAACTCCAAAACAAGCATCAATCACATTGCCCTGCGTCAGCGCCATGAAAGAAAGTGCTGGGTCTGCATCGGCATCCTGGTTGCCTCCCAATAATGTAATGTAACCTTGTGCGACAGACTTTTCAATCTCCATCATGGATTCCGCATCGTATAGCTTGTCGAGAATATCTCTTTCCTGTAACAGCAGCTCGTTGGAGGGCATCTTGCAAGTGACTTCTGCTTGCTCTAGCGGTTAATGATAGGTGTGATGTGTGTGATGTGTGTGATGTTTACATCATTGATGCGACGTTCTGATATTTTGTTCTCGAGGTTCAGAGTTCGGAGGCAGCGATGACAGTCAGTCACTTGTGATATCGATGCGACATTGACTCCCTCGGAAGCACAGATTGAGACGTTTCACACGACCCATGCCGGCGTAACGGGTCAAAAATTACACAGAATCAAAAGTCTCTCTTGCGACATCAACCAAGAGACAGTCAACGGATAAAAGCTTAGTCAAACAAACTCACCACTACTCAACTCTAGAACTTTCAGCCTCAGCAAAAAGCAAACACGGGACCTCCATCTAACTACGGGGAAAAAGAAAGTCTGACAGGAAGACCGACAGCCAAAACAAAACAACACAACAAAGCACAACAACAATATATCACCAACACCAACCACCACAATGTTGAAATGGAGCCACACATTAGTGTTATGCTTGAGCAGTCTCATCATAATCTCACACACCAACGCACAAGGGACTGATCTCGGTGGCGGCATTGTCACACGAACCAATGTCAAATACATGGCCGACTTGACTTTGGATGTAAAGGACATGACGCAGAGCTTTGGCAATTCCGATTTGGTCTTGGACATTTACGACAATGGACGGAATGCCCAACAACCGTCTGGTCTCAAATTCAAGCTAAAGGAATTGAGCGATTTGATGAGTAACAAGGGCATTACCGAAGCCACTCCCACCTATCTCTTTCAATTGTATGGATTGGCCGAAGAATCGACGGATCTCAACAAGGTTGCCCAACAGTTTAGCTATGCCAATAACAATGTCCGTGTCGCCATTACCGGTGGCAAGGATCATGCCCCACAAGCTACTCTAGTATTTACATTGTGGATGTATGCGGCGCACGTTCTCTACGAAGGCATTGAACAGTGCCAAAAAATGACGGAAGCGGACAATCCGGAATTGTTAAATCTCGGTGGTGGTGGGATAGACGAATTCATTGCCCTCTGGATTGGATCTGGCGAGACGCACGCGGGGACGGATGGATTTGGATTGTATGCCTTGACGCAAAAGGCAGCCTCTCGCTTTGATGGTGGATACATTGGGGGCGAAGCCATTGCCAACAATGCCATTAAACTGTTATACCACGAAGGGTCTCAATATTTGAGTGTCAATGGAGCCTGTACCAAGGATGTCTCGGACACTCCCAAACTCTTGTATTCGGTCGCCAGTCGGATCATGTCCATTATGTACATTCCACTCATTCAAATGCTGATTGACTCGATTTTGTCGCAAGATGCCGAAATGACCGTCTTGTATGCCACGGCCATTATTCCACAAGCGACCCAATGTCGTGTCACTACCTACAATCGCTTGCGAGAACATTTGCTCACGGGGATTCCACGATTTGACAAGACGGAAATCATTTTGAGAGATATTCAAGACATTTATGCTTGCTTTGGACTAATGTGCGAGGATGTTGGGGCCTACATGAATATGCCAGAGGGTATCAATTTCCCATTTTGTACCATTGCCAAGTCGGATGCTACCATGGCGGGGTATCGACCAACCTCTGATGTCTTGCCGGTAAGTCGAAATATGCATTGAAATAGAGTGTTTGCCATTGAAAAGTTATTGATGGACATTTCTCTCATTTTTCATTCATTCATTCATTCTTTCTTTGTTAGGTGGCACAAATTGATTTGGACATTGCTCAAATGAGAATCTTGACCAAGCTGGGCAATTTCAAGTATGCCAAATACTGGTTCAAGTATGGACGAAACTCGCCTGTTCAACGGGACAGTGACAATGACTTGCATTCGTTCTATTCCCTTTCCGACCTTTCGGTTGCCTCATCACGGAAGAATGCAGAAGACATTTATCTGGATTTTGTGGCCTATTTCAATGATGTGAATTATGCACAAGGAATCATCATGGGTGCGTTGGAGGGAACGGGAAAGTGGGGACTCAAGTCGATTGAACAACGATCTGCAGTGGCCACGGAATCGAGTGCCTTTTTGGTCGTATACCTTCATATGATTGCACAAATTAATGATGCAGTCAACCAATGCAAGAATGAGAAATCGGAGGGAGAGTATGACTTGACACATCCCTGGGACGAGGTTGCGGCTCTGGTCATTGGATCGCTCGAGGGAATCCAAGAAGGCGGGGCTACCGATGGTCGGGATGGCCAACTTATTTGGGGTCTCAACACGAGAAGAGGATTTCAATTCCAGACTCTAAATGATCAAGGATATTCCAAAACCAACTCGGATTTGATTGATGCCTTGTGGGCGGGACGAGGGGAAATTGATGCCTTGGACTGTGATCGACTCGAATCCACGGCGAACAATATCAAGAGATTGACTTTGATTCCCTTGTTGCAAAGTGTGGTTCGATATGCCGTATTGAACGAGGGCCTGGAAGCCACTTCTACCAGGGAAGATTTGGCACTAGGAGAGACCTATGCTCTTGCTGTATTGCCGATCATTGATGCAGTGGACGAAAATTCGGGGGAGGTCATTCGAGAAAACATGATTCACAATGACAACCTCAAGCCAGTCAGTGCGGGGGCACAGGCGGTGGCAGACGCAGTGGGTACTGCGGCAGAAGCACTGGGTATTAGGTGTAGTCACCTTGGTTCGACGTCACAGGCAGATCCCTGTCGGAATATCGTATCATCGTCCTCTGCCAGCAGTCAAATGTCATTACTATTCCCGTCGTCAATAGGACTAGTGGCCTCGATCTGGTACATGTTGCTATAAGAACACAAAGGGAGAATACATATATACACACATGCATGCACACAAAAGGCAGTTCCAGTTGTGTTCAACTTGTGTAGTTCACAATTGATTGATTGAGGCCGTCAGTCTTGCACTAGCAACAAAGTGGATCAGAAACTTTGGCTTTTTTAAATACATTAGAATAATTCATTTTTAACCATTTTACTTTTTGGGAACCACCAAATGGGATTTCATCATGAAACTCAAGTCCGGAATCCGGGAAGCGAGGTCTCCAGCAGATCTGCTTTGTCAGAAGCAACGGGAAATATAAATGGTGAGAGGATTCTTTGGCATCATATCTCATGGAACTATGGACAACAAACTTACTTTGGTTCGGAAGCTTTTTCTTTTGGAGGGATTGCAACTCGAGTGGCCATGGGAGCTGCAGGAGTTTTACTTTGTCCTCCAGCAGCACTAGGGGACGTTTTGGAATTCGATGCTTGAGACGCGCTCTTGTTTGTGGTACTGGTTGAAGGTGCCCGATTTGGCTCCGATTTGTAAACGATGGGAGCTGCTTTATTGTCACGCAAGACGACATCAATGTTTTTGGAATATTGAAGTATACCTCCAAGCGGAGCCATAAAGTTGTGGTAGGGTCCTCGTCCATCGTTTTTAATGACTAGTTTTGATACACTCGCCTCTGCTGCGTCTCCAAGGAAGTCCTTTGAAAGCACGAGTTTGGAAGAATCATTTTCCTTGCCGTTCATTTCAACTTGGACGGATTTCTTCGAACATTTGTTAGACAAATCAAAGTGCAATTGAATTGGTGCAGCCCGAAACTTACCAAATATGATTCCAATGAGTTGGACACAAATAAAGAGCTGTCAATTTCTCCATCGGTAATCTGATCAAACGGATACTTGCTTTGGAGACTTGTGAAAACAGGTCTAACTCTATCCAAATCAAATACCCCATTCAGCATGGACGAGGTTGCTGGTGCAGGTTTTGTCCCATTATTGACTGCACTGCTTTTAGCGGAAGCAACAGGTTGAGTTCCATTTGGATGCGCGGGAGCGTCATCAAAATCTCCGAAATCTCCAAACTCATCATCCACAGGGTCAGAACCCCCGTTCGTTCCATTGCTACCATCAGCTGTCTTGGGTGGAAGTGTTGCTGCAGCTGGAGCAGAATCGAAATTTCCAAAGTCGTCGTCGTTTTGATCAATAAGCTCTTCTGCTACAGGTCCTGTACTCTCGAAACTCCCGAAGCCATCCGCATCTTCACCTGTAGCCTGTGCTGTTGCTGACTTAGTGTCCTCGAAGTCTCCAAATTCGTCCGCCTGTTGATCACTGGTTTCTCCTGCTTCAGCTGCTGGCGTCGTGTCCTCGAAACCTCCAAATTCGTCCACCTCTTGTTCACCGGTTTCACCTGCTCCAGCTGCTGTAGTGTCCTCAAAGTCTCCAAATTCGTCCGCCTGTTGATCACTGGTTTCTCGTGCTTCAACTGCTTGGGCAGTGTCCTCGAAGTCTCCAAATTCGTCCACATCTTGTTCACCGGCTTCTCCTGCTCCAGCTGCTAGCATTGTGTCCTCGAAGTCTCCAAATTCGTCTTCCTCTTGTTCACCGGTTTCTCCTGCTTCTGCTCCAGAGCTCTCGAAATTGCCGAAATCATCATCATCCTGACTGGCAACTGGTTCTGGTGCTGGGCCAGTACTTTCGAAGCTTCCAAATCCATCCATTTCTCCTTCAGCCGTTTCTGTTCCTGGACCTGGACCTGTACTCTCGAAACTCCCGAAACCATCCGCATCTTGAGCGGTGCTTTCGAAACTTCCGAATTCGTCCATATCCTGACTATTGTGTTCCGTTGCGGGACCAGTACTTTCGAGACTCCCGAAGCCACCGGCATCTTCGTCAGTTGATTCTCCCGCTTCTGCAGCAGCAGGAGAACTCTCGAAAGTACCGAAATCATCTTCTTGACTGGTAACTGCTTCTCTTGCTGGAACAGAACTATCGAAGGTTCCGGAGCCACCCGCAGCTTGGTCAGCTGATTCACCCGCCTCCGGTGTGGCTCTAGTACTCTCGAAATCGCCAAATTCATCAGTATCTTGGCTGCTCCTTGGTTCTGCGGTGGGACCACTAGGGCCATCCGCATCATTGACAAAGTCATGTCCTGACGACGAGGCCGTGCTTTCAAATGTTCCGAACTCCATTGGCTCCACTGTATTGCTGACCCCGTCGACTGGAGAAGAACTTTGCCCATTATCTCCAGCCTGAGAATCTACACGTTGCGACGAACCACCAGAATCATCTTCCGTGCTTTCTTCACTTTTAGCCGGCGTCGATAAGTCTCTAAATTTGTCTAATTCTCCACTCGCCATGGTCTCATTCGTAGCAGCTGGAGCTTCTTCAAAGGCATTGAAGTCACTGTTTTGCTCTCCATCGTGTTGTTGGGCATCTTGCGTTGGTTCGGGTCGGGCTGCAGAGCCGGAGCCCTGGGAATTATCGTCAACTTCATGCGTGCCATCTTTCACGCCATCTTTCACCACTCCTTCGGTCATTTCAGTTGTGGCTTCTTTAAACATTGAGAATTCGTCATCTACTTTTGCTTCCTTCTCTTGTGGATCCGAGGTGCTATCGGGTGAATCAAAGGATGTATCAGGAATAATTGGATTAGTCGCAACCATGGCAGTCTTGAAACTCTTAAGGTTCTGTACAGCTTCCTCTTTCTTTTGCATGTCTATTTTCTTTTGGGCAGTTTGCTTTTGCTTGAAAGCCAAGTCTTGGTCCATAGCCGTGGTGCCGACCTTCAAACTTTCCGTCGCTTCCTTCTTGTAAACTGGCGCCCGATTTGTATGGCTGGTCTTTTGAAGGCTGGCTTCCTCTTGCTCTGGGGTAGAGAGACCACCTGCATCCCTGAGTTTCTCGGTAAAGTTCTTTGTCAAGCTACGATTTTTCAATGCCGCCAGCTCATCCGCTACACTGAGTTTCTTCGTATCATCTTTGTCAGCGTCAACTGGTGCCTGGTCAAACGTGCCACACTCAGTTTCTTCAGGAATCGATGAATCTTCAGCAGCACCGGTGCTAGAAAGCGGTTCAGACGACTTTTCAAAGTGGGGGTTGATAAGATCCTGTGATGAATCTTCTATTTTCTCCATTTCTTGTTCTGCCTCTTCTTGATCTTCTGCTTCGACAATGGCAGCGGCAATTGGTTCTCCACTTTCGTCATCTTTCCTTTCCTGGTCGCCATCAACATCCACATTCGAGACAGGGTCGGAGGTTTCGATGACACCAAAGTCTGCACCATTGCTACCATTCTGATGATCGCCTGCTGACAGTGTCGCAGAGGTTTCGATGTCACCAAAATCTGCAGCGGTATTGTTGTTCTGAGCTTCGTTTTCATCCTTAAGGGAAAGTGTGGTTTCAAATTTGCCAAAATCTGAGCTGTCTTTTACATCCTCATCTGCATTCGATATGGCTGAAGCTGCTGCTCCAAAACAACCAAAATCTGAAACGGGAACAGATGTTTCATTGTTGCTCTCATTTGGAATATCATCTGTAGTTGCAGATGCAGAAGTTTCGAAATCACCAAAGTCGGCATCATCGCTATCATTTGTATCTGTAACCGCAGCGGCAGACTTTTCGAAATCACCAAAGTCAGCATGATCAGTGCTGTCATTTGGAACATCATTTGAAGGTGTGGGGGCAGATGCTTCAAAATCACCAAAATCAGCATCCTTGCTTTCATTTGGAACACTATCTACAGGCGTAGTAGCAGGCGTTTCGAAATCACCAAAGTCGCCATCCTCGCAGTCATTTGAGGCATCATGTGAAGGTGCAGGAGCAGATGTCTCAAATTCACCAAAGTCTGCACCATTGTTCTTATTTGGATCATCGTCTGCTGGCAACGGATCAGACATTTCGAAAGCACCGAAGTCAGCATCATTGCTGTTATTTGGAATATCCTCTGTTGCCGCGGGGGCAGATGTTTCAACATCACTAAAATCGGCATCGTTGCTGTCATTTGTAGCATCGTTTGTACCTGTAGGCGCCGGGGCAGACTTTTCGAAATCACCAAAGTCAGCATCAATGCTCTCATTTGGAACATCATCTGTAGGCTGCTCCGGTTCTTCGAAATCGCCAAAGTCAGCATCATCGCTCTCATTTGGAACATCATCTGTAGGTGCAAGGGCAGATGTTTCAAAATCACCAAAATCTTCATCAGTCGGCCCTCCTACATCAGATTCTGGAGCATCACCTGCCTGTGATACTGTTGCTGATGCATCAGAAAATCCACTAAAGTCACCAAACATATCCCCTTGTGACTCAAATGTTTCATTTATCCCTCCACTTTGAACCTCCTCTGGCACTGCTGATTCTGATTCTTCATCCCCCCATTCACTTTTTAGCTCCTTTCTATGGGTTTGAAGCATCGCCGAGAAGTCTTGCTTTTCCTTCTTTGCATTTGGATCCAACACTTGTCGTCTTTGCCGCTTCAGTTGTTTGGCAAAATCTGTTTCATGTTCCGAAATATCGGTTGTACTTTCGGAGCCGTCACTCATGAATGACTCGCTTCGTTGATGACGGCCCATCGTGGGAACTCCACCTTCTTCTCTCATTTCTCCAAGAACATCCTCACCACTATTTTCCCCGCTCATGATTTCAGTGATTCTAGTGCGTAATTAGCCTGAAAATCCACTGCAGTTGTGATGTTATTGACATCAATGTTGTGATATAATGTTTGAGAGTTTCAGCTTGTGCAATGCCAATTGATTTGGTTTGTACGGTGCCCGCTTGCCCGTGACTCGCTCGTGACTGACGATTTTGATGAAAACTGATCTCAATCGCTTCTGTAAGTCGAAGTCCTAATACCGTACAGGAAATGATTTAGCTATTACGAGTAGCAGCTAAGCTGGGGGCATCCATCAAACCATCAAAGATATATTCCGTACTGCCAGCAATCTGATCTACTCGTTGACGAATAGCCACGGGGATCATCAACAATTCAGTGCTTTACACCCCACATTCATGCTGTGATGTTCTGAAGAATTCTTTCACAAACAAACCATAACGAAAGTAGTTAAGATAGGAATACCGAATGCTATTCTCGAGATATAATTATTGATTACATGTTTCATTTTCAATAGCAACCGTGTGACTGTTCAATGATCCAGCTATTGACTACCGTCATCGCCATGTACCCGCCGCAGTTTTCGTTGGTCTAACCACGGTATCGGAAGGTGATTCTTCCCTTAGTCAAGTCATATGGACTCAGTTCAACCAAAACCTTATCTCCCACCAAAATTTTCACAAAGTTCTTGCGGATCTTTCCACTGATGGTTGCCAAAACTGGCGGTTGTGTCTCTGGGGCATCTATAATAGCGCAACGGAACATGGCATTTGGAAGGGAATCCACCACAGTGGCTTCAATTTCTATTACATCATCTTTTGTCTTTCTGACGCGTTCAGTCTTGTTCTTTCTGTCGTTTCCCTTGGCTCTTGCTTCCTTCTTTCCAAACAGGACAGTTGGCGATGTCTGTGATGATGTCACAGTGTTCAAAACTCGGGTATTCAAAGGGCTGGATGCAGGTGCAAAGGCGTTTGTTTGGGTGGCACAGAACAAGGCCAAAAGGATCATAAACAAGGACTTCATCATGGTTGTTGTATAGGATATGCTATGTTGCTTCTTTGGATTCTCCCTAACGGTACAGTATTGATTGAATATGTTCGGTGGTGATGGGACGAACGTATGTCGTACAAACTGACTCAAGTTCCAGGTTGCACAAGGATCGCGCGAGTCGACTAGTGCGAATAAAGCTGAGTAACCCAAATATTCACCAATTGTGACTTCGCGTTTACATTCATCATTCAACAATAATAACAAAGTCTGAAAAAGAAATCATATCATCACTTCAAGTATCGAATCAATTGATGATTAGACCAAATAGAATTAGCAGCGAATCATGTCCGTGAGCGAGAATGCCGACTCCCAAGAAGAAGACGAAAGCAGGTCATTCAACAAGAAAGACTTCAAACTTCTGTTGACGATGCTATTGTTTTTCCTTGTATCGTCATGCTTGTACCTGTTGGATGCAGAAGAAGCTGAAACCGAAAGAGTAGAACTTGTGGTACAGAAGCCAGAAAATATGACTGAATCTTCGACGGTACAAGCTCTCGCTCCAGCTGAGACTCCCACATCCGAACAGAGCACGGCATCCAAATACGGCACAGTGTCATCGCATGGAGGTGGGGGTTTTGACAAGGGCTGCAGTGATATTTGCACCAAAAGGGAAGCTAGCCGAAAGGAAAAGTTTGGTGGAGACTTGCTGGACTTTCGAGATATTGTAAAATTGGCGGAAGCAGGCCATGAAAAGGTGATATCCACCCTACGACACGATTATGGGGAATATTTCGATCGCATGTTTATAAACAAAGGTAACGGAACGCACTATTTTGGAATGAGACCAGCTGATCTACAGGGTCCTTCAAAAGAGCGAATGAAGCGAAAAATGAAGATTAAGGTACTGAAGATGATGGCGTCGGTCCGAACATCGGAGAGCAACTTGCATGGTTGCGATTGCGTCGAAAAGGCGGGCTCGGTCAATTCGCGAGTCGATGAAGGTATCTCGACCGACATTCCAGATTTCTACGAGAAATATGTATTCGCCAATGGAGGGCATTCGAACGCTGCGGGGCACGGTAATAAGTATAGCGAGTCATATACTGCTGTGTTTGGCAGAGATGTCCGCCCAGTCTGGGAAGCAATAGGAATCGAAATGATCGATCGGAACCATGCCATGGGGGGACTAGCGTAAGCTCGAGAGAGGCTGTTGAAACTGTGAGCTGTTCAATTTATTCCGAAACTAATAAGTCTCATGATTCCTTCACCAGTTCAAATCCATACCATAGCACTTGCGTCAAGGAAGTATTCGGGACGGATGTAGATTTTCTCGCTTGGAATTATGGCATGACGGATTCGAAACCGTATTCTGCTGCTCACTTTATTTACCGTGGAGCCTTGATTCCAAGCCGTCCTGCGTTTGTTTTTGTGGACTGGGTAAAAGGAGCCAATCTGGGAAGATCATTTGTTGAATTTGGTTTGGCCATGTTTCGTTCGAGGCTGGATGGGAACCCAGTCTCGCAGTTGCCCGATATGACACCGGACGAGATACCTATATCGAATGAGCAAGCTCAGAAAATACCAGACATGGCTCGGAATCTAAAGTGCAACAAAAGGTTGGAAGGGAAGGACTTGTGTTTTGGAAGCAAATGGAGTTGTACAGAGAAGATGCAAGCAGCTGGTATTGATTGCATTTGCCCTCACATTGGGAAACGAAATAGCTGGCACATGGGATATAGAGCGCATGCATTACAGGGCCACCTATTAGCTCTTCCCTTCATAGAGATGTTATTGGAGGCACTGAGAGAACTAGCTGCTACCCCGACTACTGATTCAGAAGCTTTACTGGCTGATTTGCAAAAGGAAGAAGATGCTGACTTCAGACTGTTCATGGAAAGTCCGCTTCTTGATCTGCTTTCAACTGCGTATGAAACACTGGGAGAAAAGACTGATCCACTGTATGAGACATGGTTTCGGGGCCACAGTATATGCCGCACTTCCTACCTGCCGTGCCAATCTCGCTTTCTTGGTATTATGACCGAAAGTGGGAAGACTGGTGACATTGCAATGTATACCCACGAGACCTATGACACTGGAGACGTTCATGCAAAAGGCATTGCACGTGATGTAAACGGATTCTTCCCTCTAGTAGACGACACCGAACCACCTGCTGGCAAGTTCTTACTCCTTGCAAACGATGCTGAACGTTCTGGCTTTGGGGATGTCAAGAAACATGAAGCAGAGTGTCCAGCGATTGTCATGCCAGACTACATCGACAAATTCTGGGCGCCCCTTTTGGATGGGAAAGCCTCCATCACGGTTCCAAACAAAAAGGAGAAGGAGCATTATGGATACGATCCAAAACTATTCAAGGGTGTCATTGCATTTATCTTGCCTCTCTGGTCATTTAAATGCAAGGGGTGCCAGCACTCATATGACTTGAATACTGATGACTTCTTGGAACGAAATGTTACCATGGTCGTGAACTCCAAACCTGTCAAAAGTGTTCGAGTAGTGAGCGGAAAGGTCGTCATCTTGCAAGGGGACAACGACAACCCGTTTTGGGAACCTGATCTTGAAACAGAGGACTATACGATTGAATTCCAGGTGGCTCCAGGTGCAACCCAATATAATTTGCTCCTGACTCATTTCATTTTGATGTAAGAATGACCATTATAAGAGATAATAGAATGTAAATAAGAATAGACTGTATTTCTTGCATGGAAAGTGCCAATCCTGGTCAACTTTATGGTACGAAATCCCGATCTGATGTTGTGTTTAGACTAGGAATAGTATAATAGTAGCTAGTTACCATCACATTTATATTACGAGCTTCAAGAACCGATAGACGATAATGATTGTCATCACGTTGCGCCAGTCTGCAAGGAATCGAAGATTGAATCTTCTTGGAATCATGGAATGCGGATTTGGTTTTGGATTGAGACCAAGTTTGGCATTGATCAACTGGGACGCCTTGACCAAAAGTGACACCAAGAGTTCCACTTCATGTGTCTGTACCCGTCCAAGCATTCTATCCCCATAATAGTCCACATCTTCTGGGTTACACTTGACATTTCCCCTTAGGATACGTTCACGGCCGGCATCTGTCAACGTACCCGATGTGGTGCGGTCGTTGGATGGGTCCACCATACCAAGAGCTTGGGCTTCCATGGAAGCAGCTCTTGATTCTGGCATGACTTCGTAGTCAGCCGGGAATCCAACAATCACTTTTGCCTTTCCGACAAGCATCTTGAGTTTCGTTGCTTCGTTGGTGGCGGTGGCATTGCCACCAAACCACGAGTCCATTTTTGCATCGAATCGAGAAATCATGCGATCAAAAAAGTCTTGGGAGTCCATCTTTTTGAGATGTTGGAGATAAATTTCCTCTAGCAGATTGTGCATGTCGTTTTGACAAGACAAGAGGGAAAGTGCATTGCTTGGAGGAGCATAATCTCCCAGGTTTCGTTCGTGGGCCGCGACAATTCCAGAAAGTTGTGCTCCGATTTGCCCTACTCCTCTTGCTGTCAGCAGCTTGTTGATTACCTGGACAACCTCTGGTGAAAAGACACGAAACACCTTCAAGACTGCATCCAAAGACTGTCGGTAAAACTTGGGAGAAAAGTCAAGTTCTCGAGCCCGGCGAAGGAAAATGGCCAATGGAACGATGTACATGTGCAAGTTGGCAGCAATGTAAGCTTCCCATTCTGGCTTATACAAGCTACGCTGATTGGCTTTGGGATAAGTCATTGTGACTGTTGGTGTCGACGCTGTCCTCATATTGGCATTGCGTGGGAGTGAATCCAACAAGCGTTGTTTGGGGTCCTTTTTCGCGTAGCCTGTATTGATACATACGATGACGATGACGACGACGGCGGTGAGAACAAGAACAACCAACCAACAATCATTTTCCACTATGATGATGATGATGATGATAGCTTACCATACTTTGTATTCCATGGCTCCAGCCACACGAGCCAATCATTCAATGCCGTGTAAAATGGCGATTGTCGGGTATGAATCGACGCATGACGAAAGGCCGCACGAATGTAATTGTAAAAGGGCAATTGCATAATGTGCAAGACTGGACTCACGCAGAGCGTCTCAGGATATCCCCCTCGTAAGCCTGCGGTAGTATCCCTGACGACATCGGCCAAGGCACCATCGGAAACGGCTCGTGTCACCAACTTGTGCAAACATCGTTGAACTTGAAAGGGTGGTGCTTGATACGATGAAACCTTCTTGACGAGATCGTAGGAAAAGTTCAAATCAAAGACAAAATCTGGATCCAGAATTCCTTTCTTTTCCTTGAGATAGTCCAACGACTTGGTATTTGGTTCGATTTGATTTTGACCTTCGAGCCACAAGGCTAGACAAATTCTCAAGAACAATTCCGTGGGACGATTCATCCCATGCAATGAAAAGCCCGTATTGGCATGGCCTTGAGGTGCTCGTACTGGAATGTAATAGTTGGTGTATTCCTGAAAGAGATAATAATAGACGGAATCTCCGTAGGCTTCGGATCGTCTCGAAGAGCTGGACATGGGAGGTTTGTGACGGTCGTCTTCGGAGGCAAGGGGTGCCGCAATGGGGTACCGCAAAAACAAGACCAGATAATATTCCAACATGCTCAACATGATTTTGGGTTTGGAAGCATCCCTTTCTTTTGACTTGATGATATTATTGTTGCTGCCCAATGGCGATCGAAGATTATTAGCGTTGTTATTGTTGTACATGATGGGACTGAGTTGGAGAGGTCGAGTCGCATGATGATTCTTTTTTTGACTAATACTTTGTTGATAGGATCGTAGTTGATGTTGTTCTCTGGGTTTGACACAAAAGACGGATCCCAAAAGCCGTTCGGCATTTTCACTGATACTTGCTGTGGTTCCTGGAACAGGATTATTGGCCGTGGGGGTGGAAGGAGTAGAAGGAAAGATGGGAGGAGGAGGACTCATCATGGAATGCTGGGGTGTAGTAGCAGCAGTAGGAGTAGTAGAAGATACGAGTCCACCAAAGGCATTGGCTTGCGCATTGACTTCTTCTACAATGGCTCGTTCTAGTAAGGCTAACCAAGCAGTTTGGGTCGACTTTGGCAATGCCTTGAAGGGAAATGGATACCGCACATTGGGTCTGTGTTCGGCTTCCTTGGCCATGGCTTCCACCAATGTCAAGGCAGTGGCTTGATCGGAATGAGTCTTTACAGTAGTTTTGGCTCCCAACAACTTGACCACTGGATCCGTCGACACGGAAGGCACTGGCCGCCGACCATGATGTTGATGTGGATTCGCCGTCACTTGGGTTTGGCGAGGACGTTCCCATCGAACGTGTCTTGACAACCATCCTCCCGTTTGATGTCTGTATTCCGTATTGGCGTTACTGTTGTTGATGTCATTACTAGTATTACTAGAACCATCACTAATGGTGCCAAAGACTCGATCGCACAACATGTCAAACAGTTTGAAAAAGCGAGCCTCCGCCGAAGGCCCACCAGCCGCCAATTCCACTTCCACAAAGGAGATGAGCGCCAAGGCTGCTTCCGCTGGAGAATAAGTGGGAGAACTTAGAGTCTCTTCCAACATATTGTCTTTGTTTTATCAACAATGTGTATGAGTGTGTGTATAAATGTGTTGATTGCTTGCTTGCTTGGACAGTGGACACGAGATATATTAATAATACAGGTTCAAATGATCGATTGAGGTCGAGGATTCAGATAGAATGATTTTTGAATCCACTCGCTCAGGAGCGAACGCCAGACCGTCTATGTATGCAGCATTTTTTCAACACCTGAAAATCTGAGATCTGCGACCCATCATTTATTACACTCAAAACGCACGATTTGTATCTTTCTACAGTAAGTATTTGGATCCTACAGTATATTGAGCTCTTCTTCGCTCATTCATCATGTCGCCATCAGGCTTGATGAACGGATGGCATTGTGAGACCTGTACCTACCAATACAATGTACCTGATGGTTCCCATTGTTTAATGTGTGGACAGGCAAGAATAACCATGAGATCTCGTCCTCAAAGTATTAGTACTAGGCTCCAAGAGACAACCAAAGAAGTATCCTCCTGCGATTATTACGAACATCTCAGTGATCTTGACGCAGCAAAAGAAAAAGAAAAAGAAGAATCCCAAGACTCCTTGATTGCCCATTTTCAGCAACCTTCAGATCAAACAGAAGGAGGACCGTCCGAACCAGAATTATTGACCACCAACTTGCCACAGCATGCAAATCAGGAAGATGGGCAAGAACCGTCGACGACTACCCATCTTCCACAACATGATGCTAACGACCAACAACAACAACAACTGCAGGGGGACGAAAACTTTCTAGTGGGAATTACACCACAATACTGGGCTCATGTTCCTATGTTGATTGATGACATTTTGCATCATTTGACATTGTCCAAGGGTGGAATCAATTTCTTACATTCGCTGCCCCAACATACCAAGATTCCAGTCTCCAAATGTCTCTTGGTGGGAAGAATCATATGGGCCAAACAAACCTCAGATAGTGCCATGGCCTATATCCTGGATGACGGTACTGGTTTGATGGATTGTGTATGTTATCACAATCATAACACGGATGCGGTATATGAACTTCCATCCCTTCTTCCAACATCATCATCATCATCACCATTCCTCGACGACAATGTAAATGAAATTGAAAATAATCATATTCAAAACAAACGACGACCCATTGCATTGGGAACTTGCGTCAAGGTTTTTGGAAAGATCAAGAATTTGGCCATTCTCCAGAATGGTCGTGTCTTGCGAGAAGTCAACGCCCAACTCATCGAACCAGTCTACGAATCCTTTGCCACGAATAGCACGAAGAATCCAGAACACGATCATTGGATGAAATGTGCCAACTTTCTTCAAACCTCCAACAACAATAATAGCAAGAATGGACGTCCAAGCACCAACATCCTCCAACCCTTGGGTTGTCTCGAAATCTTGGGCGATCGGATCCGATCCCAAGTCCGGGCCAAACGACGATTGCCATCAGCAGATGATACTTTGGGTGCCTGGAGAGTCTTTGGAACTCGTTGTTTGTGTGCATGCCCTGAATCCATTAAGGAATCCCTGTTGTACTGTCATTGCCAGGCCAAGGTCAGCGTTTTGTACTGTGATCAACAATTTCAGTATCGGGATGCCTTATTGAAACATTTGTTGGAACGTCAAACCAAATATGCCAAGAAACTAGTATTTTCGTATCAAGATATCCAAAAGGAAGAGTCTCTCATTCAAGTGGCAAGGGAGCAAGAAGCCAAGAGTGGTGACAACAAGAAGGAGAAAAAGAAAAAGTTTTTTCATCAAGAATTGATTCGGTCCACTGTCCGAGCCTTGGCCAAGGACGGAATCATTTATCACATTGATCCGGACAATGACCAATACTTGTTGATTACACGAGAAAAGGTATTGGAACCCTTTGTTCGAGACGAGTTGGACCGAACGGGCAATAGTAAAAACTACGTATCTCTGAAAGGAGCTCCCGAATACTTGAAGGTGGTGGATTTGGAAAAATTCATGTACATCAAGCGATGTATCGTCCATGAAAATAAAACGAAGAAGAAGAAGACTGGCAAGAACGAAGCTAAGCGACAAAAAGTTGTTGCCAACTAACAAGCCACGCAGAATCCGAACTCAAAATATGAAAAACAAAAAGTGAAGATTCGACATTTGCTACTCTTGCTCTCTATTGTGGTACTTTAGCTTTATTGTAAATGATGCCTCGTTCATCGTAATTGACGGCTCGAATACGGGCCAAGTCAAATTGAAAGTCACCGTCCACCCCATCCATCAGCGTCAGTCCAATCGTCTCTATTCTCACACTGTTGTCCAAATCACGTTGGGTAGATCGCATTCGTCCACCAGCAGTGACAATGAAATGTTGAAATAACAAAACTACTCGATCAAACTTTCCTCCCGTCTCGGGGCATATTGTGGCATCCGGTTCGTAGGTAGGTGGAACATTGATAAATGTTTGAAAGATATCTTCTGGGATAAAGGTATCCACCTTTAAGTTTAGCGAGTACGGTCTTCCATCCGATCGACACAGAATTTCCAAGGCATTGTACCGGCCTCCCAAGTCCGCACCTCCAAAGGGAAATTCGGGAGATCGAATGGCACAGAATCCAGAACGTTGGACTTCGCTGTTTTCGTCAATGCGGGTATCTATGGTTCCATTCCATCGGACAAACGGAATGAATTTCTTCTTTGTTTGAGTATCATCACCATGATCGGATACGGTAATTTCTTCCTCTACACTTTCTGCATCATCATCATTGACCTTGTCGTCACTCTTATAAGTATCGTTGTAGTCCTTTTCATTGATTTCTCCCTTTTCCATCGCCTCCAACAAGGATCCTGCTTCTTTCCCCTGCATCACTTGTTGATAATCTTGTGGATTCCGAATCAATTGAAACTTTCCTTTCGAATAACCACCAATCGTGGAGTCGTCTGATATTCTCCAGCCTCCCTTTTTGGGTCCCTCATCAATCAACGCAGCGTCCACGGCATCATTGAAATCGGAAAAATCAAACAAGGCAATGGGTCCATTCTTTTCGCGATCCAATTCAAACCATCGCTTTTTGCTCATGGATTGCTGGAATTTGAACCAACGCCGGGCTTTGCCGCCCCCACTGACGCCGCCCTTTAAGAATTTGAAAATCATTACCGTCGCTTTGAGTGATGTGTACGTGCGATGGATAGGAGGAGGATGCGATAGTAGCTACCGATGCGAGGAGGTTTGAAGAATGGTTAGTCGAAGGAGTCCATCGCAAAAGTAGTTTTTGTCTCGCCCTATGCCAGAACGCGACCACCAAAGATCCAAATACAATTTCAAAGTTCGAAAGATAGATCACCGAGTGAATTTGGATTTTAAAATAGTTGAATGGCCAAGAGAACAGAGATGACAGTTGTACCAAGGTTGTACAAGCCATTTCAATATTATAATTTACAGATATTGTAGCAAAGTTTCAGTGTTGTCGACTGTTTGCTTGCATGGCCGAGTGGTCTAAGGCGGTAGCTTCAGGTGCTATTCTTCGGGCGCAGGTTCGAACCCTGCTGCAAGTAAATTTTGCATCTTTTGCAAATTTTGCCCTGGCCATGGTGCATAGGTTACCAAAGCATTCCATGCCAAGGCCATGTTTCAATCTGCCAAGTTGTGCAATCAGGTTTGAACTATGTCTTCATGTTATTCTTTAAAATGTTACTTCTTTTTTATAGAATTCCTGGAGCAATATTGGTATGATACGAAGCCGACGACGAGTAGTAAAACGAGTTGCCTCCTCCCAACAAGGCCTCGTGATGATATTGCAAGGCATACAGGTACAACATTCCCACAATCACCCCGGCAAACGTAATGGCAATGGAAGCTCGGATCGTGGTAATTGGCAAACCAATGAAAATCCACCAAATAAATCCAAATATATTCTTGATGACAATGCCCATAAAGGAAATCAAGACGTCGCCGGCCCCGGGTAGTTCCTCTGGATCGGATGGCTTTGGCTTGGACTCTTTGGGTTTCTTTTCTTCCTTTTTATTCGTCTTGTCCAAAGCAATCTCCTTGGGAATGGGCATATCGGAAGTATCGACTGCCACATCGGCCACTTCTGGCTTGGGTGCTGCTGATGCTGCCACCGAGGCTCCGTCCTCTGTTGCTGCTGCTGGAAGGGGTTTGCGTCGTTCAAATCCAAGTGCGGTTGTCATCATACTAGCGCAGTATTGTTCCCGGACCGATAGTGCTTCTTGCAAGATTTGATCCAAGGAATATTCTTGTTCATTGGCCGACTCGTCAATGAAACTAATGGATCCCAAAGGTTCTTTGACAAACGGTTTGCTTTCAAAGGCTCCCGTGGGAGTGATTCGATATCTCACTCCCATACTTCCCGACAAGCACAATACGGAATCATCAAAAGGAATACCGACAGCCACTTCAATGGTGGTAGGATCCCCCACATGAGCCCGTTTGGCATAGGCATCCAACACGGTGGGTGACACCAATTCAAAAATCCCGTTTTGTTCCCGGAGTCCATACGGACGTCGAACAAAAAAGACACAGGATTGGCCTTGGATGGCAACCTTTCCATAAAATTCATGGGGCACAAAGTTGACGGCTTCCCGAAAGGAATGGATGAACCGGCGTTCCAAATCTTCGTCGGTCGGTTGGGCCTTGCCTTTTGCGGCGATCCCTCGATTGGGATAAGGAGTCGCGACCCGTTGGGACACGGTCGACAACGATTTGGACAAGGGAGTGCTGGGCATGGGAGTCAAAAATCCTGCCTGTTGTTTTGTGCTGGCAAGTTTGGATTGGGCATATTGCATGGCGGCCTCTTCGCCTTCCTTTTTGTAGAGTTCCATAATTTCTTGAAGCGATGCCATGTCCTGGACCGGAGTCTGTTGCTTCTGCTGCTTTTGTTGAAGGATGGTACTCTTGGAAATGTCTGTAAGTTTGTCTTCGAGTTCCTTAATCTTTTGAAAGGCTTCGTTTCGTTCGACTTCGGTTTTCTTGAGTTCTTCCTCCAACCGGTCATTGGAAGCCGATCCAAGTGGGTTGACAGTAGCAGCAGTAGTAGTAGTAGAAGGTTCCACAGTGGTTGCGGTGGGTTTGTTACTAGCAGTAGTCTTGGGACTCTCCAATCCATCCCGCAATTGCTTCATGCGATCCCGTCGGGAAGTGGTACTGGATGGTTCCGTAGTCGTGGTTGTGGTTGGCATGGAAGGAGTCGCTTCCATTGGCATCATTTTGGCCGAAGTGGCAGGTGTCTTGGCAGCAAATGGTTTGCTGCTGCTGCTGGTTATTTCCTCCTCTTCCACCATTAGTGGTGGTTCCGAGTCTGTTGTAGTAGTTGGTGGCAAGGATTGTTGTGTTGGTTTGGAGGACAAGGATGATTCAGTAACAGCAGCAGTAGTAGTAGTAGCAGTAGTAGTATTCTTGGCCAGTAATGTGGTTGGATCCACGGGAGCTGGTCGACGAGGAGGAAGTTGTTGGGACCTGTTGTCGGCAGCAGCAGCAGCACCACCACCACCACGTTTGGTGGATCCAGCTCGTGCGGGTGGAGCAGCAGGTCGACGGGGAGGAACACTCTTGGCGCGGCTAATATTGCCAGGAGCTGGCATAGTAGGAGCCACAGCGACGGCTTTTCCACTACTATTATTGAACTCCAATTTACGAGCCACTGGTGGAGGAGGTGGAGCTCGTCCTGCACTTCGAGATCGTGTGGTCTTTGTAAGATTGGCCGATGGTTTCATCAGATCTGCGGCAGACGTGATAGGAGGACGTGAATTACTACTGGCACTAGCTGCAGGTCTTCCTCTGGCTGTGGAAGATGATGCAGCCTTTTTGTTTCGCTGCTCGGCCAATCGCCTCAATTCGGCACGACGACGAGCAATGGCATCATCGGCTTCAATGCCCACATCTGTCTTTCGTCCTCCTCTGGGAAGATTACGACTGACGGGAGTGGAACCACCGCGTTGCTTCTTTGTGGGTGGAATACTGGAAGGAGATGCCATGGTCTTTGATCTGTTATTTTATCTTGAGTGAACAAGCAAACTGCTTTGAGGACGACTCACACCTCTTGCTCCACTCCAACAATGGATATGAATGAATGAACGATGATGAGAGTTTCCAAAGGAAAATGCCAACGGAAATGACGTACGTACAAGAAAGTACCAAAGATATTTTCGACACTATATCTGTACGTGTACCTAACCTCTTTTGACATGGTCTCTCCCAATATAACACTCACCATAAATCACATTTCAGTCATCATGCAGGGACGATAAGATAACAACAAAAAACCACCACAACATGGCACGCAAAAAGAATGCACAACCCAAAAGACGCTTAGACACTACTAGTGGTGATGATAATGGAAATGGAAAGAAACATTCCAAACGGCCCACATTTTACTTTCCGGATCGTCGGACCACTAACGTGATTCCTGCTGATGATTCAAATCATCCCATGTTGGCCACACTTCCGACCTTTTTGAAGAAATTTCAAGAGAGAATACCCCAAATGATCAAGGAATACCAAGAGGCATTGAGAAAAGGAAAAGTGGATTTGAATACTTGGTACAAGGGATTCCGTCTCATTACTGGGAATCGCATCGAACTCAAGGTTCTGAGCGAGTGGTTGATGGAAGAGTTTGCTGACAAAGATTGGAATCCAGTCCAATTGATTCAATACGCGCAATCTCAAGCCCAGAAAGATGAGCGTATCATCAACAATATACTTGAAAATCATGGCCAAGTGTATTTTTCCGAGTGGAGCATGATCGTCAGCTCGTCCTGTCAGGTCCAAACGATTCACATTGACGTTCCGGCCAACAATTATCAATTTGGACTGGTACTGCAAGATAATGTCCCAGGAACCATGGTGTTACACCAACATGGAGTCACTCCAAAAACGCCAGAGGAATTGTGCTCTACAGCATGGAAGGATGCACCTGCACTATTGAAAGACTGTATTTTGAAGAATGTTATAGTCCAGAATCGAATGCAACAGTTGCTACATTCCTACGGACCACTCTTGATTCCAAGAGCCGAATTGGAATCTTGCATGGTGGGTGGAGACAAGAAACCTCTTGTGCCTGCTGGGCTTAAATGCGGCGACTTGATTTGTACGGCAGGAGGGATTCCTCATGCCGGACCAGCATGCCAATCATTTCGAGCAGTGGTCTTTGCCGCCGCCTCTCCCACCAAAGAGTCTTTATACAATGTGGATGAACAATATTTTGCTCACTCGGTTATATTGCTTGCCATCCAAGTGGTCTGGGATGCCTTGTCGTCGTCGTCGTCGTTGGAAGATGGTTTAGAGTTGGAATCACCATCATTATCATCCAAGAGGTGGCTGTTGCAACAGCTTGCCAAAACGGTACACGACTATGAAACGGGACCAATCGAGAATCATAATTATGTCTCCAAAGCCTTCACCAAGTTGATGCATGAAATGGCAAAGGTGTATCAAGATGAAGATGACCATGATAATGATGATAATGTAGTGGAGGAATCTTCTGCAACAACCAAAACGCAGGCCATCAGTGGTCAGCAGACCGAGACCACCAACGCCTCCTCCACTCGAAAGCCGACAAAGGATCGCATGGAACAAGTCATATCCGCCTTTTTGAAACAAAATGCCTCCAAATCGGAGCAAGAATTGTTCCAATATCGACCGAATACGATTCGGAAGTGATGAGCGGTGCATTACGTGACTACACGGTCAAGAAGTGCTAAGGGGATTTATACATTTGGGATTTGTACAGTATTAGAACGCATTGTTACTCCCATTTGTCCTACTGTAGTAATCATCTTGCATGTTGTTGTTATTTCAACATTGCTATTCTCCAACTTCAAAACTTACGCTATTCGCTCTATATTGGTCATCGTATGGGACTCAGATTTACTCGTGACTCGTAATTCGTTCGCCATCCTGGCAAACAAAATTCTGATGACACGACGAAAACTTGGTTTTCTCCGTTGAATTTCTTTCCTGGTTGAACAACATAACAGCAACATCTATAAGTCCCTGGCGATCGCCACTATCACTTTATGATCGTCAGATAACATAACTGTACCTACAGAAAGCAACCAAGCATGATACAGTGGAAACAACGCTTGTATGCGTTTCTACTGAGACGAATTCTGGGACCTTTCCTAGATTCCGAGTCGTATCAGAAACTCCACGACTCTATTGATGTTTCCTTTCAAGAAGGAAAGTTTGTGCTAAAGGATATTGGTCTCAATGCAGACTACTTGACAGAAAAGTTGATACAGTCCAAATGTCCCGGATTGTCGATTGTGAATGCCAAGGTGGATCGTTTGGAAATTAGTCTCATGTTGAAGGAAACTTCCACATTACAGGGTGACGATAATAATGACTCTTCTGCACCCGCTACCAGAAATAGTAGCTTTGCGTGGAGGGCCATGAAATTTGGAACATCATCCACAGATGTTCCGGCGGTTGCCTTGTTTGCGGCAATTGAAATTGATGGAATCACAATGGAAGTAGAAGCCAGCAGCGACCATCGGCATCCCACACGGTCACGGCAGGCTCCACTCCCCACCACCACCCCTGCCAAAACATCATCATCGTCGGAAGCAGAAACAAAAGCAGAACCATCATCCAAAGGCTTAATTGGATCCTACGTTGATGCAGCACTTGCCTCGCTGCAGCTAACGCTAAAAGTCACGAAGACCCAAGTGATACTCCGCCAGAAACCAACCGGAACGGAAGAATTCCAACCATGGGTATCCTTTGGGCTGTCGTCGATTAGCTATCAAGACGTTGACGTTTCTCGGAACCCTTCGGAAACCAAAACAATCTTTAAAAAGGTGGTGGATGTCTCCGAAATTACCGTCCAGGCGGGAGAACGAAAAGTGGGTGTGGGCAGCGTGGTGACCCACCCGCAGTCGACCGTGGCTCTGGCCAAGGGGTCGGGACAAGTGCAACTGCGAGTATTTGAGAGTACAATGAATGACGGATCGACGACAAATATACAACGAGATGTAGAAGTCAATCTGAATCATCAATTGCACCTATCTGTGGATATTTTTTCCATTCAGCAAATCAAGTCGGTCCTGAATGCTGTTGCTCAAGCGTCCGATCCGGTCCATGACGATGATTATTCCAAAGAGCCAATCGAGATCAACATGACCTCACTGGCTGGGAGTCCACTGAATAATAATTCCACGGATCGAGAGGATATTCAAGCGCTCAGTGTGATTATGAAACAGTATCGAGAAGCCTATCATTTGGCGGAAAATAAGCAACTGAAGGGCGGCGTCTTGATTCCTACTAGCGCTTACAGAGATGATGGTGATGTCATGGTGGAAGAAGATCCCGAGGGTGATGGATCCTTTGATTTGTTTTTCGATGCCAACGATCAGAGTTTCTACAATGCCGCGTCTGTTCTGGCAGAGAGCCAAAGGATACAAGAAGAGTCAATTCACAAGGATGGAGAGAGTAGTGGTGATGTAGTCAGCACCAAAGTTCGGTTTCATTTGCAAAGAGCTGGGGTTAAAATTGTCTTTCGCGAATCATCAGGTGGAAGGAGGAGTTTGGCCATGTGTGATGAATACGTCCTCTTGACCATGGAGGATTTGAATATTTTGTACCGCAAGTCAAGTACATCGTCTGAATCGACTGTCAGTATTGCGCATCTAGTTATTGAAGATGCCCAACTGGATCGAAGCAAGAGACCCATAGGAAGTGTTTCGATCGGTGGTGGGCCAATTGTCGAGGGTGTTTTGGATATTGACACTCTCGTTGGATTCAATTCGGTAAGTATGAGTGTTGGACAGCACGTAGATCCGTTCCAGACATAACGATTCCTTTCTCACCCCACTTCTCTTGCAATTATTGTTATAGTCTGACGATGAAGGCGAAATTGATCAAGTTTTATTTGAAGCTCCTTGCATCAGTGTATCAGTCAAGAAAGATATCAATACAAATGAAGATACTCCGGATTCGGTCGTTTGTGAAGCTTCATTTTTGCCCTTGGAAGTTTGCATCCGACAACGAACATTAGCCAACATATCCAATTTTGCAAACCAAGTTGGTGATTCCACTCCCAAAGCCTCCAGCAAACATGCGACGAAATCAGAGAAAACGAAGCAACAGATGGTATTTGCACAATTTAGTTGTCCGTCCATCACTGTTGGCATTCCTTTGAGTCGCGGGGTGCCCACAGCCCAATTATTTCATCGTCACCAGACGGTGTTGCAAAATGCCCCAAAGAAGGGGACGTGGCTGGGATTTCTGATGCTCAACAATTCATTCGAATGGAATGCATTTCCAAAAGAGAACCATCCTGACATTATGGTAGAAACTGGAACATACATGGCTCATCATATGCTCATGTTTGTTCAGTCGCCAGTAGGAGATGTAGTTGATGTGGATGCTGCCATACGAAGGGCTGATATATTTGTAGCGAATGGACGGGTGGAGGTAAATCCTGTCACACCCATAACGATCGAGGTGAAGCGAAATCACGATGACGCTGGAAGGGATTCTTTTCCTTTGGTGCCATCGATTTCATCATTCAAAGCGAGACAAGAAGATGACGACGAAGACCTCAAGATTGATAAGCTCTTGTTCTCCAAAATGGGAGATGTCCACGCGGACTCCCGAAAGGAGCTTCGTGGATCGGATCCGCAATTTGGAATGGCTTCAGAATCAGAGAAAGCAGATACTGTTGTTTCGGTCAGCATACCTGAAATTGCCATCGAGGCTACAAAATCAGAAATGGAGACTGTTTTGAAGGTGCTGGAAGCATTGAAACCAGTGGATGAACCAAATGCTGGCACCAAAACGGACAGGCTAGACGAGCCAGCTGTCGCATCGTCTTCATCAAGGACTTGTATCGCTCTGAATGTATCAAAGACGACTGTTGTTCTGAAAGAAGATGTGAAAGAAACTGGTGGCAACGAAGACGCCTTTTCGTTGTTGGTTGCTCTTGACACATTCAAAATCCATGCTCTGAAGCAGGGCTCGTCAACGCAACATGTCCGTGTCTTGGCGCATGATCCATGCGTCTACGAAGGTAAGCATTGATTGCCAAACACAAGGACAAAAGTCAAAACTAACGAGTCCTACTTCAGTTTATCATAAACCTACAGAACACATGGAGCAACAAAGCGTGGACGAAGATGGGTTGTCTCGAATAGAGTACTTTCGACGGCGGCTGAATTTGTATTCTAGCCGTTTCACTGCACCCATCCTATTCAGATCCCAAATGTTTTCTCCAATGTCACGGGAAAGCCCTTCCATCCTTCTTGATTACATTGACACAACTGTGGAAAAGTCCTCGAGAAGCAGTAGAAGTGAAGGCAAACGAGTGCATTTTACCTTGTACCATTTAACGCATCGATTCAATGTGGATTCCAAATGGACCGAGCGATTGGCTGATGTTTTGCCCAGCAGGACTTCCAACAAAGAAGAATCCGATGGCCTCACTACCATAGAAACCCGAAAGGAGAAGAGGGAAATTACAAAGGTCTACATTTCGCTTGCTGATGTCAATTTTGATTACACACCGCCAGACTACTTCGAGACATCATCTCGCACGATTCTTAGACTCGGTGATTTTCGCTTCTCGAGTAATATCATTACTCCAATGACGAAGACACAGGCGTACAGTATCTCGCTTGGAGATGTCTCTTTCCATGTCTTGGACCAGAAGTATCCTCATGACAGAGAAAATAGTTCACTTTGTCGTGCAAATCTTGTGTGGAGATCGGCTTCTACCACAGTCTCGAGCCCACCGACTTCTGTTTTGCCGCCAACAGCAGAAACATTACTCCGCGAGCTCGGATTTGTGAAGGTCGTCTCCTTGGATACAGTTGATGCTGTTATTCTTACGAGAGAAAAGGCAAATAAAGCAGCCTATGAACCAAAAACGCTTACTTGCTTGACGTTTGGTACTCTATCCATGAGTGCATGCAAGGATTCTTTCAGTTGTTTCGCAACGAGCATGGGGGAACTTAATGCCAAACTAACAGCCCTTACGGATGAAGATATCGATACTCTGCGAGAGGAAACGGATTCTGAAGAAGTCGCAAGTGAAAAGGGCCCAGTTACAAGTGAAGTCACTGAGGTCCCTAAGACTTTTGTCGGGCCCACTGGTGTTGCAGGCAACGCCCAAAAACAGAAGCCACGAGCACAATTTTTGGACGGATATGATTGGACCACAGTCGATCATGATCCATTGCCAGAACTGCCAATCCCGGAAGGCTATGAGCAGGTAGCGGGGTGGTATGGCGCTTTTCGAGAGGGGCAAGATTCACCAATTAGGAATGGAACGACTCCGCGAATAATACAACAGCACTTTCCACTGCATGCGGTATCAGACCCATTGTCTGATGGTGACTTGGGTGCTTCGAAACATGCTGGGGATGATGCGAATGTTAAGCTCAAGTCGCGATTGATTATTCATCAACTTTCGGTTAAGCTTCGCTTCTTCGACGGATACGATTGGCCTTCAAGAATGAGTGCTGAGCAGAGAAAAGCAGCCGGTCGTCAAGGCTCATCCTTTGTTATCGAAACACTACCTGAAAGTGAACGTCTTGCGCTAAAGGAACAGCAAAAGAAGGAAGCTAAAGCTAAAAAGAGTACAAAAGCACAGCTGCTGAGTAACCTGTTGGGTCCAGCAGAAGAGACTACTTCAACTTTTTACGCTGCACCCTTACCTGAAGAAAAAGCGGCAGCGATCGAAGCAATGGAGAAGGTTCGGCGGTTTTCCCGGAAACCCCATCTTTTCTTTCAATTGTCTGCGAATGGGGTGACTCTGCGGATAGATTCCCTCGAAAATGATCCTTCCCACCGATTGGTCAGCATTATGGCCCTTTCTGTTGCCGATTTATTCATTGCGGAAACAGCGAGCGGACCATCTCCTATCAAGATGCTTGGAGAATGGGTGAACGACAGTGAACATCCACATGATACTCGATACGGCACTCTCATGATGAAGGTAAGCGCACCAAGTTTTCACATGTTTCTTTTCTTTCCTAGCTTTATACTGACACTATCTTTTTCCTCAATGCCAGATGGTAACTTGGCATCCTAAAACCAGAGTTACAGAAGAGAATGAAGTGGCTAGTGACGAATGCGAAATGACAATCCAAATCCTACCTATGCGTTGCATCCTGGATCAACGCGCCATTAACTTTATCAAGGCATTTTTCCATAACGAAGAGAAGGAGGGGAATGATTCCGAGAAATGGAATGCAGGCTTACATTACTTGCCTCCGCCACTCTTCCGAATTGCCCGAGTAAAGCCGTGGAAACTGAAGGTTGACTATTTGCCACAGGTAAGAAATGGATCGTGGTTAGTTACTTTTAGCGTTGAAGTTTCTGTTCTAAACAATTTTGTCCCATGTTCATTACAGAAATTGGATGTTGATGCGCTGCGAGAAGGTAGCTTTGTGGAGCTTGTGAATATTAGCCCGATTGATGGAATGGTCATTACACTGAGTCTTGCCAAGGTGGAGAATCTGGATGGTTTTGGTGCAGTTGGCGGCGGACTGGCTGGAAAGTGGATCCAAGAAATTGTGGCCACCCAGTTGCACAAGTTTTTAGCCAATGCCCGACCATTTGAACCCTTTTCCAATGTTGGTCAAGGAGTTGGAGACCTGATTGTGTTGCCATATGAAGCCTTTCGGAATGGAGAAGATATTCGACGAGCCTTGAGTTCTGGGATCAAGTCCTTGGCGGAAACCTTTGCCTTTGAGACTCTGACGACGACATCCCGTTTGACACAGTATGCTGCCAACCGGATGGCAGGTACCGTCCGAGGAAGACGACGAGTCAATGTCGCATCCAACCCCCTACCCTCGCGTCCTAGCCATGCTCCTAGGGGTGTCAGTGATGTCACAGGACACGCCATGGAGAGCCTTGCCCGTGGATTCCAAGCTGCCAACTACAAGGTAATCATTGTGCCCTACCGCGAATACGTCCGCAATGGAGCCACGGGTGCCGCCACGAGTGTCATCAAGGGCGTCCCTGTCCTGCTAGTAGCTCCACTGACCGGTGCCACGGAAGCCCTATCGTACACTTTATTGGGAGCTCGCAATGCATTGCGACCCGACATTCGCAAAGAAGAGGAAGCCATTCGCCATGGAATCACTGGCTATGACATGTGATCATCATATTTACCTTGATAGAAGCTAGCTATAGACTACTACACCGCAATGAACACAAGCTAATACATTCATAAGACGCAGCTAACAAGATAGAACAATGTAGATCCGTTAACTGCTAGCCTGTAGTTACGTGATTACACTTATTATATTTAAGGTATTCATTCCAGACTCATTTTGGCCGCCTTTAGTACCTTGGCAGCATCCTTATCAGCTGATTTTCCCTTGACTTTTTTGGCCCACTTGAGTAGTCCATTGAGTTCTTTTTCTGTTTCGGTCCCCGTCCCCTCAGCCTTGATGAGTTGCTTCGTTTGTTCCTCGATGGCTTTGATCAAAAGTTCTTGCAACTCATCCGAAGACTTCTTGGCCAAATTGGAAAAGCTTGGAGCTTGGTCCTTGTCTCTCAGGTCCACTATTCGACCAACTTCGTCCCCGGATGACTGAATGTATACCCCTGGAAAGCCATCCAAAGCATCGCATTGGTCTGGTGGGTTCTCTGGCAAACTTTCGGGACTGGGCCATTGGATGGCATACCACCATCTTACCAATAGTCTTTGAATCAAGAGTCCCTTGTCACATTCGCTTCCATAGAGAGCCGCCGAAGGAGATTGATACTTGGAGCTAGATGTAGTAGTCTTGGTGCTAGCTGTAGTAGTTTTTGCCTTCTTCTTGGCTGGTGCTTTCTTTTTCTTGGCAGGTGCCTTCTTCTTCGGTGAAGGCTTTCCTTTCAGGGCGAAAAGAGGGACATCATCATCTTCACTCGAGTCGTCATCATCGTCCCCTCCCTCTTCTTCTTCTTCCATCTCCTCCTCCTCTTCTTCTTCATAGTCATCGTCCTCGGCATAGCTGACTGCTTCGGTAGAGGCACGACGTTTGCGAGAGGACCTGTCATCAGTCTCTTCGTCGTCCTCATCGGCGTCATCGGAATTATTTTTCTTGTCCTTTTTGCTAAAATTCTGCAGGGGAACATCCTCAGAGGAGTCACTTTCTTGATCTGACATGTTTGATGTTTTGAGTGTGTATTTAAGGAAAGTCTGGACTTTTGCTTGTTACGACGCTGTGTTTTGATATATGATCTTCCCACAAAAGGAGCCGTCAAAAAGTGCGACGCGATGAGGTTTGGTTTTGTTGATTGGCACTGTGGCTGTCGGAAAAAATGCTGTGGTTGTGAAGAGAAGCTACGATACATTCCTACCAGGTTCTACGCTTATTCTCCTTTTTATACAGGCGGCGAAACCGTTATTCTGATATTCGGAATATGGTCTTGCAATGACATCATATTGCCTGTCCTTCGATCGACAAAAATGAACATACTTAGTCTTTTCTGATGATTCATTCATTCATCATGCCTCACATCTCAGATATCATTTCGATCATCGATGCACAATCATCAGGCCATCCTTTTGTTTGCGGTTTGAATTGGTGAAAGAAATACAATAACCACCATTACATTATGAGCAAGAAAATCCCTCAATCACTGATTCGTCTCCATGAGCAGTCATGCAAACCAAGGTTCCTGATGGCATCATCCATCCAGTCCAACATTCTTGGTTCGTCGCAAAAAGAATCTGGAACGACGTCATCATCGTCACTACCACCAGTCCTACGATTCTACTCTTCCACATCCGCTATAGGGGCGCCGTCCTCGTCCAATGATAACAGCAGCAACAAGGATGATGATTGGGCTCTACTATATGAGCGAGATTCCGAACGCAACAAACTTCCACAAGCAGCACTTGCCTTTTCCATTCTAAACTCGAGCTATTGGATGTGGTACACCGTCGACTTTATTCCTACCATTAATAATTCTCCCATTGACGATTTGTATGTGAACCCCATGATTGGAATTGGCGGAGTGACTTTGGGGCTCTTGATCAATCTAGTGACGGGACTTTATCCCTTTTCGCTCGTGTCCAAATTGGGGTATGCTCCCAAAGACCAACAATTGCATGTTTGGAAGCATGACTTGTTTCCCTTGATCAAGCAAGCCAAAGAACCGAAAATTTACTCTTTGGGAACTCTAAAGTTCCATACTGCCTCGAATGATACACAAGACTTGTTGAAGGACTCTTCCACATATACTGGCCATTTGGGATTACAAGCCAATGACGAACGATTGCCCATGTTGATGGAAGTACGAGAAAAGGGTGAATTGAAGGACCCACAATTATTGCTCCAAGCCATGTTGTTGGATCCTAAAGCCATGATTTATGGTCAAGAAGATATGGGTCGAAGTCGCTACCGAGCAGATCGAAAACAGAAGCAGCCCAAAAAGAAGAAGCAAGAAGAATCGCCAACTGAAACAGCAAAATCCAGTGCCGAGCCCATCAATATCAAACCGAGATATGCCAAAAAGAATAAGAAGCGATAATGAAAATGTACATATTGATTGTAAGGTGCTACTCCTACTCGACCAATCCAATCCAATCTGCTGGCATCGCAGTAGCAACAAAAAGTGAAAAATTGACCGAATGAATCCAATTC